GTCCTCACTTTCCTCTCTCTTCATTCTCTTTTCCATTCTCAGTAGTTCAGCCTGGAAAAAAGTTCCCTTTATGTCCTCCCTTCAACTGTCTTCTCTTACTACCTCATTATTGGGTGTCAAAACTTTATAGAAATCTCACTAATTGAAGCACATTTTGAACCTTTCTGAAGTCATAGTTTAATTGACAGTTTCACCCGAGAGAAAAAAGATTCCTTGGGGAAGTTGTTTTCCTTGATTATGGTGTGTGGCTTCGTTTATTTTAAATAGTTCAAGAATCTAAGCATTTAATCAGAACCCTTGGACTCGGTGGGTATGTTTTCTACATAGAACACAGCATCTTAAATTCTCTGAGTTTGCTGATTTCTGTGGCTTTTGTTTATTTCTTAGATATTATCCAACTGTCAACCCAGATCCAGATCCTCTGAACTTTCCTCTTCTGTGATTCATCTTAGATGCCATCATTTGTTTTCTAAAAGCCCCCAGGAACATGGTGTTTTGTTCTTGGGGACCTGATTCTTGAATTGCAGTACTGACAACCACCCAGGGCCATCAGAAGGTAGCTTAGTGTTGTTGCAAGAGCCCTGATTTCTGAGTGAGTAGCTTGGCAAGTATCTAGCGTGTGGCTTTGGGAAGCAATTAACCCCTCTCAGCCTCTGTTGCCTCATTTGTAATTAGAGGAGGTTTGAATAAAAGGTCTCTAAATATTTCTAGCACCACTCTTGGGCTTAGTTGAGTGTGACTTGAACTGTGCTCATTGGACCCTTCATTGAAAGATCAACTGGGTGGGGAGTATTAGCTAAAGCGCCTTCCTTGTCCAGGGACCAGGATTCCCAGAGAGGAATCTAATGCTTCATCCTATCCTAGTGTCCCGAGCCAGAGCATCGCCTTGAAACTGATCTGTTCCAACAGAGTGACTGCCTTCATGCTGAATTGGAGGCACTTGAGTATATTTGAGATCCATCTGACCCAATTCTTTGTTCCAAGGAAGAATGAAGCCACACCAGATTTTCTGACTTCAAGGTGGGTGATATGGCTGGAAATAAGGTGCAAAGTCCTTAAGCAACCATAGAATATTGGGTAAGTCAGTTCCTCTCTTTAAGCCACAGGTGTTCATTTGTAAATGAGGTAGTGTGCTTTGAAGATTTTGGGGGGGGAGGGATATTCCATTTATTTATTTATTTTTGGTGTGGTGAAATTATCCAAAATGTAAAATTTGGCAGTTTTAATGTTCTTTACAATTTTGAGATATAGTTACAGAGCTACAATTATAAAGATTCTATTAATTGTTAAAAAAGAAGTATAATTTACTGTAAGAGCACAGAGGAATTGATACATTATTCTTATCATAGTCATGTTCTTATTGCAATTAGGAAGAAGAAATATTAAACACAGAGAAGGGAGACAGGACCTCTTTGGTTTGGAAATAGCTGTTTAATAGTCATTTGGGAATGACAGTAATGGTGCAAAGGTAGACAATGGCCAGTTCAAGTAGGACCTGGACTCCATGCTAAGAATATTATGATTTAGGCTGAGGATAATAGGGACATATTGATAGATTTTTAGGTAGAGAAATACCATGACCAGATTTACACTGAAGGATAATGACCCAAGTATTTCCAACGCTCAGGGAAGGGAAGGTACAGATGGGTGGGAGTATTAAAGGCAAGCTTTGCTGAACACACTGGAACTGGGTTGAAAGGACAAGGAAAGGGTGTTTTTGGTGAAAGGGGGGCTCTGTGGTAGGAATGAGCAGGGTGGGCTGTGGGATGGGGAGAGGATGTGAATAGAGATGAGTCAATATTTAGTGAGTAAGAGGGTGATTGCTGAGGCGGCTCAGTCTGTGAAAGTCTTTACAAATAAGTCAAAGGAGTCCAGGTTTTCCCCCAGCTATTGCCATTGCCAAGGGAGGATCTGAGGAAAGAAGGGTCTAGGACACAATTTTCTGGCTGTGGTGTGTGGGATGGATGGGCAGGAGCATCTGGAGACGAAGAGGTGTTGGTAATTTGGGCATCTGCTGACAGCCTGTGAGAATGGCAGGAAGAATGAAGAGAAAGCACACACAGGGGCATGGTTTAATGAGAAATTAATGGGGTGTGATGATGACTGGTGTGGACATGAAGGGAATACATAGATCAAATATGAACTCAGAGCAACAGCCTAAACAGCATGGAGGGTGAGGGTGTCATCAGAGTATCTTCCAGGTCACACTTGCCTGTGGGTCTCCTGATTTTCCACAGTTAATCTCAACTGTAACCCTAATCTCTGTCCAAATCCTTTCCTTGGGCTCCTGAGGATGTGATAAAAGGTGATCCTTGAGGAGTCTCACACTCTTGTATTTTAACCATCCATACACTTGATTGGTGCTGAAATGGTTTTAGATATTCCTAATGATTCTGGGTGCTTGGTTTCCCCAGCACTGCACCTGTTGTCAAGGGCTCTACACTGACTAATTTAGCAATCGTGCTTATGCTTAGCAGGGGGTATCAACGTAATTCTCTGCTGTACCTAATTTTCTGGAAACTTTAGCTCTTGGATGGGCAGGTTTTTTGTTTGCTTGTTTTGTTCTTTTGTTTTTTGCTTTGGCGGATGGGCTGATCACCTTTCCCTGGCTTTTTATCCTCTATGGATGGACTTTAGAGTAATTGTATAAATTACCAAGAAAAATTCCATTGGATTTTATTAAGATTGCATAAATTTGTAGATAAATTTAGGGAGAGTTGAAATCTTTATGTTGAATTTTAGTATTTAAACATGAGTTTATAAAAATCACTTTGGATGGCCATGTGTAGCAACATGGATGGACCTTGAGGGTGTTATGCTGAGCGAAATAAGTCAGGCAGAGAAGGACAAATACCATATGTTTGCACGTATAGGAGGATTAGGAGGAACTTGACGGAGGAACAAGGGGGAGAAGAAGGGCGGAAATGGTGGGGGAAAGGGAGAGAGGCAAACCATGAGAGACTCTTGAATGCTGACAAAAACTGAGGACTGATGGATGTGGGGGGGAGGGGGGGATGGGCATGAAGGAGGGCACTTTGGGGATGAGCACTGAGTGTTATGTAGAAACTAATTTGACAATAAACTATTTGTAAAAAGAAAAAAGAAAAGAAAAAGACAAGCATACTTTTTTCTAGGCATGCTTTTAATAAGCACTCACTTGCATAATGAAAAAATAAATGCTTATTTGTTAATGCCAAAAAAAAAAAAATCACTTTGGATGGATATGTTTGTCTTTTATATGTGACTTTTTTGGTGTTACCTTAGTATTTTTATGGTTTTCTCTGCATAACTACATTATAACGGGAATATTTTTCAGTTGTCCTTTCTAGTTAGTAATTATATTTTGAACTTTCTTATTATTGCTGTGGTTTTCTGTTTTTTCTTTTTCTTTTTAGGTGTTTAGTTATTTACTTTGAGAGAGAGAGAGAAAAGGAGAGAGTGCAAGTGCAGGGGAGGGGCAGGGAGAGAGGGAGAGAGAATCCCAAACAGGCTCTGTGCCCTCCATGGGGCTTGAACTCATGAATCATGAAGTCATGCCCTGAGCCAAACTCAAGAGTTTGATGGTTAACCAATTGAGCCACCCAGGTGCCCCAACTATGTTTTTCAGTTTTATCTATTTAGTTTTTTCCTAGGTTCATATCTTAGGAGGTTTTGCTTCCAAGAAACAAAAACCCATCAAACTACTTTAAGCAAAGAGGAGAATTTATTTGAGGAGTAGAATTCTCTGGGATCCAAATCTATAAGGGACTGAATCAGAGATGGAAAGTCAAGGATCAAGGATACTCTCTTTATCTCTGAAATGCCATGGTCTACTTTTCTATTTTTCTTGCTCCTGAATACTAGTTTCTCAATGTTTTCAGGTTCAATGACTTTTTTAAATCTTAAACATTTTCTTTCTTTGATGAAAATGATATCTATTTAATATTTACAACTTGATGTTCTAATAGACATAGTGAAATAATCACTGCAGTTAAGCTGATTAATATGTTCATCTCCTCATATACTTTTTTTTTTTTTAATGCACATTCCTGTATCTGTTAGGAAATTTCACACTTTAGCAAGTCCTTACCTGACGATTTCTGAAACACACTGCTCTTTTCCCACCTATGTCACTGACTATTGTTTTTTTCCTGTTGATTTAGGTCCTTGATGTTAAGGTACACTTTTACTTTTTCAAAAGAGTATTTCTTGAAAATTTCAGGGATAAGGGGACATGCAGGGAGGATAAATTTTATAGTAGAGAATCAAGATGTTCGTATTATTTCTTCCTTACTTCTCATGGCTCATATGTGGTGAAAATATTCTGAATATGGAACCTTAATCTGAAGAATGTTGTTTTGCATAATATGACATCGTTAGCATGAGTGTGTTCTGCGATCTGTACTTCTGCCACATAGTTTGAACAGATACATGCAGATGTGGAAAATGTCCCCTGTTCCAGGGGGTAACTCTTGTTATGATAAGTTGAAGGTTGGCATAACTTAATGAAGAAAACTGTACTCAGGACCTTTTAGTAAGAGAAGAATTATCAGTGGGAAGATGTTTCCAGGGGCAGAGATGAAGGAAACAAGGAATTTAGGAGCACAAGTGTGTCATGGAGATCCCCCGATAGAAGAGAGCTTCAGTGAAGATGGTAAAAGTGCATGCCATGAGCCCGAGTGGCCCCTCAAATTCACATCAACTGGTGGTGAACTAGAAAGAACCCTGGCTGAAGTCTGAAAGCTTGGTTCTGAGGCCCAGAATTCACCACCTTCTGTGTGATTCTGGGTAAATAACCATTTCCCTGAGTCTGAATTTTCTAATATGCAACTGTTGTTAGATTGCTAATATTTAATGCTGAGTGAGTACATATGGACTAAATGAATGGGTTGGTGATTAATGTATTGTAAATTGGTTTACACTGTCTAACATGCTATAAATGAGGTGAATTGGTTACCATCAGTGTTTGTTTTGTTGCAGGTCTCTCATTACCTTATGTCCAGAACACCTGATTGGATTCTATGGCGAGTACAAATAACGTGACTGAGTTAATTATCGTCGGTCTTTTCCAGGATCCAGAGGTGCAGAGAGCGTGCTTTGTGGTGTTTCTTCTCGTGTACCTGGCCACAGTGGTGGGCAACGGTCTCATTGTTCTGACAGTCAATGTCAGTAAGAATCTGCATTCCCCCATGTACTTCTTCCTTAGCTACCTGTCCCTGGTGGAGATCACTTACTCCTCTACTGTTGTCCCTAAATTCATCACAGACTTACTTGCCAAGATTAAAACCATCTCTCTGGAGGGCTGTGTGGCTCAGATATTCTTCTTCCACTTCTTTGGTGTTACTGAGATCTTTTTGCTTTTGGTTATGGCCTATGACCGCTATGTGGCCATCTGCAAACCTCTTCATTATATTATCATTATGAGCCGTTTTTTTTGTCTTTTTCTGGTGGCTGGCTCCTGGCTTGGGGGCTTTTTTCACTCCATTTTTCAGATTTTTATCACTTTCCAGTTGTCTTTCTGTGGTCCCAATGTGATTGACCACTACTTCTGTGATCTTCATCCTTTATTCAAACTTGCCTGCACTGACACTTTTGTGGAGGGGGTTATTGTGTTGGCCAACAGTGGTTTATTTTCTTTTTTCTCCTTCCTCTTCTTGGTGTTCTCCTATATTGTCATCCTGGTCAACTTGCGGAACCATTCTGCAGAGGGGAGGCGCAAAGCCCTCTCCACCTGTGCCTCTCACATCACCGTGGTCCTCTTGTTCTTTGGACCTGCCATCTTNGGGCTCCTGGCTTGGGGGCTTTTTTCACTCCATGGTCCAGATTATTATCACTCTCCAGTTGTCTTTCTGTGGCCCCAATGTGATTGACCACTACTTCTGTGACCTTCATCCCTTATTCAAACTTGCCTGCACTGACACTTCTGTGGAGGGGGTTATTGTGTTGGCCAACAGTGGATTATTTTCTATCTTCTCCTTCCTCCTCCTGGTGTCCTCCTATATTGTCATCCTGGTCAACTTGCGGAACCATTCTGCAGAGGGGAGGCGCAAAGCCCTCTCCACCTGTGCCTCTCACATCACCGTGGTCCTCTTGTTCTTTGGACCTGCCATCTTTCTCTACATGCGGCCACCCTCCACCTTCACTGAGGACAAACTGGTGGCCGTGTTCTACACGGTTGTCACCCCCATGCTGAACCCCATCATCTACACACTCAGAAATGCAGAGGTGAAAATTGCCATGAGGAGGTTGTGGGGGAAGAGAGTGAATTCAGGGATGGACTAAAAGTGAAAACACGAAAAAATGATCCTATATAGGAGGTGACCAAATCCTGATTTTAGTCAACTCTGAGGAATTGAGGAAAAGTTACCTGTTCATTTTTTTTTCTTGTATTTAGATGAGCCCCTTATATTCTACTGTACTAATCATAGCTGCACTAATTCATTGCTGTCTGTAGTTTGGAGAGTGTTTTGGAGAAGAGCTGCATCTCTTCTCTTCTTGTGTTGGCCTTGGTTGGAAGTACATAGCCTTCAGGGAGGGATTGCCTAGACTGTGAATTCCCACCCTATTGTTTTCTGCCTGTGCAACCTTGAGTTCATTCACTTTACCTCTTGGTGTTAGCATGCTGTAGGGTGTGGAAAGTCTGAGGCACTTGGAGACAGAAGTTTATGTTTTGCTTTGTCTTTCTCTGCTAATGTTGTGGGATCTTGTGGGAGTCCCAAGAAGGCTTTTATACTTCATTTGGTACCCCTACTTTATTTATCTGATTCTGATGCCTGAAATTCCACATTTGGAGATGTATTTCACAGGAATAAGATATTGTTAGAACAGAAAAGTCTCTTGGATGTGAAATACAATGAAGGTATTATTAACCGTTAATTTGGACAATTTTAGAAGACCTTTTTCTTTCTTGACAGTTACTGTCTGGGCACTGAGGTGTTGCTTAAGCCAAATCTAGCTCATTGCCTGTTCTTGTATGGCCTAAAAACCAACACGGTTTTTATACTTAAAAAAAATCAAAGTAGAAAAATATTTGATGATACATGAATGTTATATGAGTGTAAAATTATAGTGTCTATAAATAGGTTTTTGGACTACGGTCATGCCAATTATCTTACTTTTTCTCTGTGGTAGCCTTTGTGGTATAGTAGCATGGTTGAGTGGTTGTCATGGAGACTGTGGTCTGCAAGGCCTAAGATATGTCACTGTTTTGAGAAAAAGTTTGGCAACCCCTGGCTCAAGTTATACAGCATTTATTGCCTACTCAACAGAAAGTTTGGAGGCCAGCAGTTCTTGGGCTGTATTGTTAATTCTGTGATGCCAGAGCACCTGGTTTGTGTGTCTTGAATTCTCTTGCCTGCCCCCCTACCCCATGGCCGCAGGATGGCTATAGCACGTCTAGGTATTATATGCTCACATGAGGGGGAAGAGGGGCTCTTATTTTATATGGGAAATATTTCCCAGAGACCCCTCAGAACAACTCTTACATCTATTTTTTATTGGCCAGAACAGAAAATTTTTGTATTTGTTACTGCATGTCCAAACCTAGCTGCGAGGGAGGCTGGGATAGTGAATAGTGGTAAAGGGAAATGGGATTATGTTACCAGTTTAGATTAGGCTCTGTGTTTCTCCTGGGCTGGGCATATCAGTGCTTGAACAAGGTCAGGGTTGTTATTAGGAAGAGATGTCTGCCACAGGGAGTGTTGGTGCACCTGGGCATAGTGGGTGGATTTGGATTGGTGCCAGAGTGACAGACCAAAATCCAGCTCAGTCCCTTGGTGACTCCGCCTCAGGCATGTGACCGAAACTCTCTGCAATCCAGTGTCCTTGGCATGCACGCGTCGGTCAAGTACAAGAAACCTTTTCCATAATGTAACAGTTTTCCTGTGAATGCATCTGCTTTAATTTCCCTCTAGAGGATGTGAGAATGAAGCCCTGGGCTGTGAATGCCTGAGTGTTGTGAATAGAAACCAAACCATCCTACTATAGGTCAAAATAAATTATATCATTTAAGGTTTGTATATGCTGAGATGAGTCCTCTTAGTAAAAAAAATCATATTTTTATGCATGGAAGAAATACTGGATAGCATATGGAGATTTGAGTGTTTGGGATATGTAGTGAGGTGCTAAAACATTTTTAAATCTAACATCTTGCATTATCCTCTTCCTTCCAAGTCCATATCTCAAGGCTGAATTTTCTCCATATGTTTCAACAAAGACAACATATCCAGCAGATTGAAAACACAAGCCAATATGAGAATTCAGCTGTATCTCTTAAGCCAAATATTAAGGGGGTTTGCAAAAACTCAAACAATGCCATTTTGCATTACTTATTTCCATTTGCATTATTTTGTCATAATTATTTTTTCACAAAATATGTGACCATAAAAAAAAAAATAAAGAAAAGAAACCAAACCACCCTACAGTTCTTGATGGCATGGATGAGTCTTGTTTGAATACATAGCCCCACACCCAGAGTTCTGGGCCAATTCACTGCAAATAAAGTCACCAAGCAACAATTTGCTTAAAGTTTGCTAATTCACTAATTGGCAATTGGCTAATTCCCCAAGCAGCAGTTTGCTAATGCTGAACTTTTGATTAATCAGACACATATTTATATTAAGGCTTTCTAAAATTCATGGCACTTAGGTTTTGCTGAAGCCTGTGATGAGCAATATATTTGGGGGGAATTTTTGTGTTTTGAATTTCAGCTTTTTTTTGAAAATAATAAATATCAAGCATTTTATGTATGTCTGTTTCTCTCTTCTAACTAACTGAGTTTTCAGTCTAGTCAACTGACTTTGCTACATTTCTTCATTTTTGGTTTACTTTCTTGAGAAAGGGATGCAGGTACAGGGAGCAGATGAGGGAATGTTTTCACCTGTGTTAGCCAAGCCTTCCTGTTTTGGGTTCCATTATTCACCCCAGTGTTTTACTCTTTGTGTCTATGCCTTTTTCCATGTAATTTTGGAGTTCTTTCCACCGTATGTGGAATATACTTTTCTATCCCTTGACTCTGGCCTCAGCCATATGACTTGCTCTGGCTGACAGAATATGAATTGAAAAAACAGCATGCTGGTTAGAGCCTAAAACTTGTGTCTTTTCCCTCATGTGTCCCTGTCGCCATCATGAGATGATGTCCTCATCATCTGGGCTGTAGAATGACATACGTGGAGAACTTCACCTGAACCCCCACTGAATTGCAGCCTGAGATAGAGCTGCCCTGCCAGCCTGCAGACACGCGGCACTAATGTAGGAATAAATGCTCACTGTGCACACTCCTGAGGATTTGTGGTTATTCGGTTTCAGCAGAAACTCACTAGAGTTGAATGACAAATACACATATCAAAGAAGAGCAGAAAAGTCATGCTTACCGCACATTCTTTATTTTGTTGAGCATGGGCATGGACACGTCCTTTCCTGCCGCCTTGGAGGTTTTACTCTTGATTTGAACTATTTGGAAATAGTGTCTGCAAATGTTTGCCAGTTAGGCATAACTCAATTTCTCCTGTATGTTTTATGGATTTGTTGATCTAGATTTATTGCATGTTGATTTTTGTGTGTTTTACAATTCAGATTTTCCAAGGCTGCTGCTGCTTTTTTTTTTTAAGTTTATTTATTTATTTTGAGAAAGAGAGCATGAGCTGGGGAGGGACAGAGAGAGAGGGAGACAGAATCTCAGGCAGGCTCTACTGACAGCATGGAGCCTGACCTGGGACCATGAGATCATGACCTGAGCCAAAATCAGGAGTCAGATGCTTAACTGACTGAACCACCCAGGCGCCCCCAGATTTTGCAAGGCTTAATTAATAGTAAAAGCAGTAGAATAGATTAGAAGTGAAGCAGGTCTTTGATGCATTAGTAGTTCAGTGAATTGGTCATTTGCCTAATACCTAAATCTCTGAATTGTTTAATTCTGGCAAACTTCTAGATGGTGAAAAGATTTTAGGAGAATTAACTCTGCTTTAGTACCTAGCGTGATGAATGATAGGCACTCAGTAACTACTGAGTGCATAAAAGATATCAAAGTGGTGTCAACATTATCTATCTTTTCATTTTGGAAAGGCTTGAGATAGATGTGAAATAATTTGATGCCAGAGAAGCTCTTTCTTGTGAATTACTTTTAGTTGCAATATAGAAGGGATGTTAATCTATTACCTTACAAGGAAAATATAACAACTTTTCAACTGCATGAAAATGCTGCAAAGCTGTATTTAGGGTTATTAGTAGAGCAATTGATATATTTTATATTTGCACAATATCTTGTGTGTAATTCACAGCCCTTTCACATCTATTATTTTATCAGAGTCTCATAGTAATCCTGTGAGGTCAGTGAAATCTGAACCATTCCCAGTGTACATTTTTGGAGTTTGAAACATCACTTACACTAGGATTTATCTGCAAGGAATAGAATCTGAAATAAGACGGAAGTCAAGGAGTAGACAATTCAGGATGGAAATGATCTCTCTTGTTTCTCCATCCTGAAGTCATCTCCTGGCCCAGGATGGTGCTGCAGATGCAGCCATAGTGACAGCATTCCTGGCATCAGGAAGGAGAAAGGGACAGAATAAGTGCATCATGTCCCCTTTATTAAAGTTGTAGAGGCACTTGGGTGGCTCAGTCAGTTAAGCGTCGGCTTAGGTCATGTTTCTAACAGTTCATGGGTTCAAGCTCTGCAGCCGGCTCTGTGCTGACAGTTCAGAGCCTGGAACCTGCTTCAGATGCTGTGTCTCCCTCTTCTCTCTGCCACTTCCCAGCGCACACTCTGTCTCTCTTTCTCTCTCTCAAAAATGAATAAACATTTAAAAAAAAGAGTTGCAAGGGAGGCTGGGCAGTGTAACTTTTATTCCAGCTGGGTATGTGCCCAGATAAAAATTCGGAGTTTGTAAAACTATAGAAGGAAGAAAGAGAAAACAAATGTTGTGGAACGCCAGCAATCTCTGCTCCTGAATAAATCAGGCACAAAACTTGAGCACAAACTCAGGTATTCTGACACTGGGATTAGATGTTCCTTCCATTGTGGTCCCCATCCTAGCTAGTTTTTTTTTTTTTAATTGGGGTACAACTTATATTCAATGAAATGCTCAGACCTTAAGTGTACAACCCACTGAGTTTTGACAAATTTATATAACTGTGTAACCTAAGTCCTAACCAAGATGTAGAGTATTTCCATTACCCCAGAAGCTTCTTTCATGACCTCTTCCAAGCAGTCTCCACTTCCCATAAGCAACTGGTAATCTAATTTCTATCATCATGGAAGTTTAGCCCCTTCTTAAACTCCAAAA